TCATGCCATGGTTTAAGGAGGCCATATATTCCATTCCGACCGAAATAAATGCTAGTAAATTCGCGTAGGGAGCTTGAAGCCAATTTTGCGCAAATTAAGCAACTTCCTTATTAAAAGGCAACGATTAAACGTTGTGGGTTTATCGCAGAGGATAAGCCCTGCTTCACTAACGCAAAATTGGGTTCAAGTATGAATCCACCACGTCGAGTGGATGAACCTCCGGTTCTAAACGTCCCGTGCCCTTTCCACCCGTCATTGTATGTGACTTGGCCCTGTAAAATGCGAGTTCTGCAGACTGAACAGCTTTTTGATCTGTGGATCTGGTAGAACTTAAAGTCCCGCGAAAAGATGAAATTACAAAAAAATTATATACAGGAATGAATTAAGTTACTGAATAAAAATTCTACCCCGCGAAAAGATATAAAGAGGGTGTCCTTCGAAATAGATCTAGGGGATGGAAGTCCCTTTACTTTCTTCCGAAATGTTCTCTAAAACGAATCCAGCTAGTTGAATTAGCCCTAATGTGACATCTAAAATTACTTAATTTTCCTGCACCTTTTCTCTAGACCAAATGGATGCAAGTAAATCAGCAGCAGACAGGGATGGCCTATATGCCCCCCTAAACAGAGCACGAGAATGGGAACAACCAGTAATGCAGGTGTCTTTGCACCGAATTCCATAGAAAATAGGTTAGGTTTAGTGTCGGCCGTATTGTCAGGGTTACGGTTGTATGTCAGAGCTAGTGTTAGAGGTAGGACATCGGAATATTAACTCTTTCTGGAATTAAGCATAGGGTTACTGTTATTACTTTGGCGGGTCGTTTCTCTTTCCGTGTCCTACTTAGGAGAACTGTATACTTTATCTTTACGGGAATAATTTTCGTGAAGGCAGTTTCTGCCGACGGCCGGAGAGAAGAATATTCCAAAGCCGGCCTCCCTTTTGTGGCTCAAATGACTTCGGTTTATGTTGCTAGATTATCAATAAAAGAACCTAACCTAAGTATTTTTTTCTAACTTAAATGGCATTTCATAATTGTGGTCGATATTTAAAAAGTTATGCGGCGTATTGCACAGTCAGTAATTCTCTAGAGAAACCCTTTCCAACTTACTGAAAGTCTGTGCAGAATCACCTTCGACTGGGCATTCATATCTCCGTGTCGTGTTTAGACAGCTTATTCAGAGATGTTGGCTGCGCGGAGCTTTGCGAGTGTCCATGTTACTTCATCGTGCGCTGCGCATGAGAACTCGTAACCAGAATTGCTGTGCAAAACGGACATCCGAAATACCGTTCAGCGGTCATACCACTGTAACGGCCGTTACGCCCAGGTAACTTTAAGCTTGGCCTGCACAACCTAGGTCTGTGACTCAACCGTTCATATGTGTGCAAAGCATAATGACCAACTGAGCCCGGAGTCAAATCTCAGATCCTCCGATATAACTGTCCGACTACAGGTAAGCCGGAGATTGAATGGCATTACCGAAAACATCAAGGGAGAATTGAGTGGCCATTTTTATTCTTCCTTCCTCTCCGTGGTCTGATTTTAATGTCCCTGAGTTGGTGTTGACTACAGAGTCAAGCGCTCAACCCCACTAAAGCGACTGTCGTAGGCAGTAAGTATACTTGCAAATGAAACAGATTGCTTAAACTGATTTATTGTACATCATATCGGGGAACAGAATCGTAAATATATTCATACACAGCAGAAAAGTGGCCTTGGTTTAAACGTCTTGCCATGCATTGTGTACTTGGCACTCAAAATATGGGTGAGGATGGCTTCTGTGCCCCCCTAATCAGGACACAGAAGCAAGAACGCCCCACCTAATGCATGAGGGTGGCCCTGCGCATAAGGCCAGGAAGGAAAAATAGGATTGTACCCTAACTCTAACGCTAATGCTAACATCAATCTGATCCGTAGGCCTAATTTTAACCGCAAGTATATCCTAAACCCTAACACTACAGGTAAAACTTCTGTTAACCCTAACCCTGCACTCACCTCTAACCTTAGTCCTAACGTTAAACATAATCCTGAGCCTAACCCTATGTCTCCGAAATTTGGCGCGAAGCCATCTGTTTCCTGGACGGTTCCTGTACTACTGTCCTGTTCAGAAGTAATCTTTACCAAAGTGTGCCCATGAATATAGTGGACATACCTCTATAGACAAGGAAGAAGACGAGCCGAGCACCGGATCAATTGGTTTATTGTCCATCTCCTGAAGATGGACTCCTGTCCTGTAAGCTCAGGACAATTAATCAATTGACCCGATGCTCGGCTCGTCTTCTTCTTTGTCTATGCAAATACCTAGAACGCAAACCTTTTCATCCATTCGGTACATACCTCTAGTATTTTTCCAGCTACGTGCTTATTAACCCCTATCCCCCAAAAGTCTTGCCTTAAACTCACTTTATTACCTAAAAGGGTGTGGTTTTCAGTTTCAGATGCTGGGTAATTACGGCAACCTTTGAGACGTGTGTCGCCTTGTATCCTTAATGTTATTCAGTTTACGTAAGCAGCGTATAAGATGACTATCTGACACAATTTAAAGGCCAAACGGCGAATACAAGTCTTTTCCCAGCGACCGTATCCTCTTTTTCCCAAATAACTTTCTCATAGAGAAGGGATGAGCTAAGCGGATTGGGCCTTTGAAAAATTACATATCATAAACTGCAAAGCGCTGACTTTATGAAAAACGAATTGCTAAACAGTATAGAGCTGAAATTAGCCCTTCGTTAAAGTATAAAATAAAAAGTGTACAGTGTGAGACCCTCGTCTTTGCACATCCTCCCAAGGAGGCGTGACCGTATTAACAAAATGAATAATACATATGAGCTACTTAAATAATACTTTAGGTCACCTGCATTTTACACACTACCAACAATCCAAATGCTGCTGTATGGAATGCACTCACGGTATGCTTCGGACTAAAAAGTACTGAAACCTCAATCATGTGATTTTTTATGCTCGGAAACATAGCTAATAAGTGGAGTATAACACTCGAGAGATTTTACGGACTTGAACATGATGTCCGTAAACATGATGCTGGTTGAAGAGGTCTGCTACTTCCCAACGGTGTGGGCGCAGCCGTTACTTCTCTTATACTTTGGCAGACTTACACAGCGTCTGCCTCACTCCCTCCTCTCAGGCTCA